TTTTCAGATTTTTGGATCCAAAATCGAGGGGTAGCTTCTATTCGGGGGTAGCTTCTATTCGGTAATATACGGTAAGTATTTTATACCCTGCCCCATCAAAAAATTTTCGCCCATACGAGCTACATAAATTTATTTAGTTGGGCGGATGGTAGCAAATTTAATAGATATGGATTAATTCAAACATAAAAATGAGTACTGCATTCGAAGGCGCTTCAATATACCAATTACAGAAACTCTTCATAAATTTAAAATATCCTTTTTGAAAATTAGATTAGATTAAGTTTCACAAGATCAAAGGTTAATTTGACAAAGGCTTTTTGACGGTTACGGTTTGTGGTCAGAATTTGTTTGGGGCTCTGAAAATTATCAAGACTAACCTAAAAATGTTTGGCAAAACTTATATAGGGATAAATAAAAGATTTGTGATGATCATATTTAGATCAATATTAATTAACTAATTGAATAAATGTCATACATTGGCTGAATCATGATGTTTTGTGTAAGTTATGAATTTCATTATTTCAATAACGATAATGTCACACATGTTAATGTATCATTGTTTTGGTTCACGGTTAAATTCATAATTTACATGAGACAATTATACTATTTTGACATCATGTATAATAAGCAGCAAAAATCAAATATTTATTACGTTGTCACTTGGTTGTTTGGCCGGACATCGGCCACGACCGATAACTACAACCAATGATCAAATTTTTAAAAGAAATTTATTTGGTCGAAATGATCAAATATTATTAGTATAATGGTTGTGCTAATATTATGTAAGTTGTAAACTTTTGAACAAAGTTTAGTATGGCCATTGGTTATTGGACGGTTTGCTGGCCAAGGCAAAAAAAAATTGGCTGACAGCAAAAAATTGCCGATACTGCAAAAAAAAAAAAATTGGTTGACAGCAAAAAATTGACGGTACTGCGTGGTGTGTTAGTTATATTATGCATTTCTTTTTATGGTGGAAGCTTTTGTTTAATTTAATTATAAACTAAACAAATAAATCAAAATTAATATTTTGGTATTCCAGAAATTTGTAGGGCGGGTTTAGATTATATAATATAACTGCAAGAGGCTGTTAAAAATTTAAATATCATTTTAAGTGATATTTAGACAAAATTTGATAAAAAATTTAAAATTTTAAATTATTTTTAAACAAAAAAACATTGTTAAATTATCTAAAATTAAATATTTTCTGTTAATAAAATAGCTATTTTTATTGGTTAAATTATATAAATTCTAAAAGAAAATTACTACATATCACTAGTGGTAATTATCACTACTCCTAAGAATTTTTAGGATTAGGGTGCAATTTTAGAGTTTTTTTTTTATATAGTATAATGAAGATTAGATATAAGGTCCCGATTTCAGTTTTTGTGAGGGTTTCAAGGATCCTAAACATTTTTACTTAGAGTACCCGATCACATTTACTTAGTGCATTTTTGAGATATACCAACACCAGGATGATTATCAATGGTAAATTTTATATAAGTACCGGAATTTGAAAATTTGTACATGATATTATACATGCTTTGAAGTTTGTGAGCCAAAATTTAAAAAAATTTGAAATAAATACCAAAATTTAAAAATTTAAAATCAGAGGCAAAAATTTAAAAAAAATTAGCTCCAAAATTTTGATAGTCACTAGTAACTACATCGTATAAATAGTGTGATTTATAATTTTATAAAATCTAATACTGTAATATATAATAATACTATATAGTCTGCAATATTTAAAGCAATAAGATCTTTTAATAAAAACAATGCTGTAAGTTGACTTTGAGTAAAAATTACTTTAATAATAAACTATAAATCTGTTTCTAGTAGTGTTTCTCTATGTGTTTTATGGAAATACCCAAATAATACATAGTTTATTATTAAAATTAATATATACAGTTAATGCAAAATAATTTTTGTACATGTAATTACCTTTTATGTATTAAATAAGAACTTTGCTACAAAATTACTATTTAAGATTTTTTAATCAGGCTAATCAAAAAACCCTAGACCAAAGTACTGTCACTTATTATATATAAGTTGTTTTTTTTTTATATTTATTGATATTTCTAGTATAAAAATAAAAGGAACTTTTTTATTATTTGCAAATAGGCATTGATACAATACCTCGTCTAAGCTATAAATAGGATTTGGTGTGAATTTTATTAGTAAACATCACCTTTCGAAAACATATCGTAAAAATTGATTTAATACATCAGACAAACTTCTGCATGTGAGATTATGTCTCGTGGCACAGAAGACACTTCGTTTAATCTAGGCAAATAGAATTTCCTTTATTCGCACAAATGTGTGAACCTTGTGGGTTATTAGAGTGGAGCGAAAAAATGGTATGAACAAAATGGGAAACGTTTTCTTGAATATACAACACTAGTAGCCTGCACACGCTTTGTTACATGACTGGTCTACATATTTGTATAACACTCATGGATTATATGTCCAATAATTAAAGTCTGAAAGCAGGCCATTTAATATTGTAATCACATAAGTTTATAGCATTGAGCCTTTCAGGCAATATTGGGATAAAGATCCTGCAAATAATCTAGAAACAAAAATAATTATCAATACTTTAAAAAAAAACTTATTCCTAATATACTTTTGAACAGACGCTATTCTATAAAACACAGATCAAAATAGTGTAATTCTTCAAGTCATTGAGACAATAAAATGTACTCGTTTTTATTATAGTTGTTCAATAAAAATTAAACCAATTAAACAGAAACAAAATTAATGTAAATTACGTCAATATGACAATATAGACAATACAATATGGACAATTGTTTACAGCTTTTACAGTACAAAATCTTTGTGTAATTTGTGATTAAGATGATTACTACAATGTTGGTTCTAAATCAAGCCAACACTACTTTAAATTAATTTTCGGGGAAATGATTGTCAATACACCGAATATGTAGAGCGTACAGTACATATCTACAAATTTAATCATACACATATCAATATCAAAATGGCATCGTTTGTTAAGCAGTTAGTGATTACGTATCAATTAATAAATTAATCAATGTGGCAAAAATTCCGATAAGAAAACAAAGGATATAGCTATATAAATCTATACTAAATACATTTTACTTAATTATATAAATAAATCTATACTAAATACATTTTAATTAATTATATAAATTCATGCTTAAACGTATTTATAATTTAAGTTACTGCTCAGCCCAACATTCCAAGAATATGGGCATGATTATACAGCATCTTGACTTTTGCACTTGAAACGACTAGTAACATTTGATTCAAAGCACAAATAATAATAATAATAATAATAATAATAATAATTTAGCAAAGATGGGTTCACAAATTTAAGAGAGTTTTACTATGCAAAAAAGTTTAGTATATATGAATTAATCCAAACACAGAAATCTTAAAAATTTAAAATCCAGATCAGGTGGCACAATATGCCACATGGAAATGCCTTTGGGTTAAAAGTAGGGTGTCTAGCACACCAAAAAAATTTGGCATGCCATAAAATGTTATCTATTTTTATGCTGTACACAGTGGCATGCCAGTGCATGCCACCATTAGCATGCCACCGTTAGCATGCCTTTGCCACTATGCCAGACACCCTAGTTAAAGGCAATAATACGGAAAGGTTCATATATATTTATATACGAATAAAATAAAATCTTTGGCGTAAAAGATAAAATCGAATTTTTAGAGTAAAGTATGATCATATTAATTTTGATGCTAGACGCGTGGAATATTAAAAATTTATTATATGACGATATATAAACTCTTTTTTAAATAATATATGCACGATAGAGTGTGTTATCATATTTGCTGCTGTATAAAAATGGTGAAATAATGCATTATCAAAACGACCAGAACATGATAATACATAACATATAAATAACAATGAATTTTTTTGCAAAGCAAAATGGAATGTTTCTGTGTCACTATTCAAAGAGCATATGACTTGTTGCATGATATAAAAATAAAAGGCAGAATTGTTAGCTAACGTAACCTTTAGTAAGTAAATCACATGCCAATGTTAATTTTTCAATCAAAACTTATTGTACAGATACCGCATAATTTTATTACCTTATTCTTTGTGATAAAAACTTTGTCGTAACTGTTAAATTATATGCGTTATTTATATATATGAAGTTTTTTTATGTGTCATACTACATACCTATCAAATTTTGTGTGCTGCGAACAGCCGCACTGTAAAAAATAAACACTACGTGACACTAATAATGAAATGTCATTGTTATGTACGTACGTACGTACTTTATAATCCAAGGCACAATAAACATACCCAAAAAATTTCCTGTGTCACTTATCCTATAAGACGAAGGTGTTAATTCGATAAGGTTCTTTTGATGGTTGCGTTTTGCGACCAATATTTGTATAAGATTCTTCAAATTAATTAACCAATTGCATGAATGTTTATATCGGATAAAATTTTATGCATAAATAGTAGTACGTAATAATAATAATAATAATGATTACGATAATGATTTGTGTAATTTATGGGTTTTACGTGTAACATAAACATTACTATATATGATAACAAATAATTTTAAATAGCAAAAATAGTAATAGGTTTGCAGCCGATATTATGTAAATTGAAAACTTTTGGCCGAAGTTTGGTTATGTGCATCATTGGCTATTGGCCAGTTTGCTGGCTAAAAGGCTAAACAAAAATTGGTTAGCTGCAAAAAAATTTTCAACACTTGTACGGACGTACGTTATAATCATTATATACTGAACCGTAATAATTTTAATTTTTTAATACTTCGTTGTAAGGTTTTACCAAACCTTGAGTTTTTACATTCTTTAGTAGTCTTATGTTAATCCTAACAATATAATTATTTAAATGGGCTGCATTTCTTCTAAATTAAAAAATGGATCCGAATCTATGGACTCAGAAAGTACACAGAATGATGAATTCAGATATCAGGACGACAGAAGATATCATAACGTAGAAGGTGCTATATATCCTATGCCAAATGATGAAGACGAGCAAGATAGGCTACATCTACAACATTTCTTGATGAGATATCTCTGGCAAAGCAATTTTTCTGCACCCATCGACCAAATATTGAATACACCAGGTGCCCAAATCCTCGACATCGGGTATGTATTTCTAAATGATGATCCTTGATATAGCGAAATGATGAACATATGAGTTCATCTTTAGCTCTTATATTTAAATTACTGTATCCTATAGTAAATTTAAATATAACGAATATTTGTTAGTTTGATATTAATAGCTTTATATCGAGGTTATATTGTAACTATGCCTAATGGAAATAAGTTGCTAAAAATTTTGGGCTCTCTATTTATAACGCTTATTTAGTGAATTTAATTATCATATACCAATATACGTGTACATCAAATTATTGTTATCGTATTTATAATTTTAAACATAAAAAATTTTCTTGCGCGATCTATTTTTTTTTTATTTTTATTTTTATTTTTTTCTTAATTTTGAATCTAAAATTAATTAAATTTCATTGAGACTTTTTTTTTAAAAAAAAAAACCAAACTGACAGATATTTTACGAGTTCAATCCTTCATCATAAGAAATTATCATTATTTAATAACTTTTATTATTTATATTTATTGACAATATTTTGCCCTGATTTTAGATGTGGTGCAGCGTCATGGTCATTTGATATGGCGACCACGTACGTATATTCTTATATACAGTAATTTGTTCTTTCATTCTTAGTTCTCATTACAAATTATTAATCAATATAATGTATTCTTAGGTATCCAGCGGTTGAAATTTTTGGTGTAGATATATCTCCACTCCAACCTACACAAATAAAGCCAAAGAATTTCACATACGTTAAAGCAAATATCTTAGAAGGACTACCATTCGAAGATAATACTTTTGATTATGTATATCAACGATTTATGCTTTATGCATATACCAAAGATGATTGGCCAACAGTAATGAATGAGCTTGTTAGAGTTTTAAAACCAGGTGGATTCTTAGAGGTATATTATTTGAAATTTAATACTTATTAATTTTTATATTTTAATTTATTTTTTTAATTCATTAAATAATTGTATTAATTTTCTTTTTCAAAAAGTTGATGGAACCATCTCCATACCTTTTTAATGTTGGACCGGTTAATGAACGCTTATGGGATGCCCGTATGTGCTTTAAACTTTGTTTAATATCTTTACTGTATTATTCTACTTATGTTAATATTCTATTTATTAAAATAATTAAGAATTAGCGCCGGTGAAAAATCGAGGCGTAGACCCGGATATATATCAAACATTAGAGATTTATCCACAAAATCAAGGTTTCACTCTTAATCTAACTACTAATGATATATAAAATTATACAATAATTATTAATAATTATATATTTTTCTAAAATTAAGGTCAACTAGAAAATGTTAAAAAGGAAGTAAAAACTATCCGTCATGGTGTAAATGCCGATAACGACCAACTTAATAAAGTGGTAATATACTGAATAATTTAGATTGCTTATTCATATTTTATGAAATTACTTTTTTTTAAAAAAAAAATTTTTTTTTTTAACATCATACGTAATAAACAGGGTATTAATAATTTAATTTCCATAGCGGCTGGTATGAAAGCCGTTACAACAAAACTATTGCAAATTTCGGATGATGATTATGATGAGATGCTTAAGGAAGCAAAAAAAGAATTATATGAATCTGACTCTTATTATTATTTGGTTCGTGTCTATGCAAGCAAATTAGTAAATAATAATCAAACAATAATTCAAGAGTAACACCTAATTGCAATAAATCCGAAAAAAAAAATCAATTCATAGCATTTATTTATTATTTACATATTATATTTATATTTATTCATTGTTCATTAATTTCATTGTTCAATAATTTATTTATTGTTCATTAATTTATTTATTGTTCATTTATTTTTCATTATCCATTTATTTATTCATTATCCATTTATTTATTGTGGGAGATGATGCTGAAGTCGGGTAATGCTAAACTTAAACTTATTTTAATATAAAATTTTAAACTTTTTTGGAGGGGTCTTTTTTCTAAGGTTGGGTTAGAATTTAAGATTAGAGTTTATAATTAAATGAGTTTATGTGGCATATTATGATTTTATATATTTAAATAGAGACTAGATTTCAACATCATCCCTGACATTTATTATTATGAATGTAAAAATATTTACTTGAAACATCCTAACAGCGTTCAAGTATAAAATTTTTATTTTAGTAAGCTTAAGCTAAAGTATTTTTACTGGAATTTTTTAAGATAATAATTTCGCATCTTTTTAATTACATATACATATCTGATAATAAATAGCCGAATTTATTTTATTTTCCTTGGGTTTTTGACTAGTAGTCGCCTTTATAGGCCAGAACTAAATTGTCATATTTATTTACATTGGATATTGACCATATAATGAATCATTCATATATCATGATAAACGATTACTACTAAAAAAGCATATAACATTAATACTATAGATTGAGATTAGGCATAATCTTATCCTTATCTATTACAATATTATCCAGACTCAGATCCGTAGATAAAAAATTACTGATATGTATTTCTGCCTGTTCTATATCCCTATATTTAAATGTTCTTTTATAGCACACCGCTTCTTATAAGCTTATCAAAGATAACAACCGGTTACTTAATGTAGTAATTTGACAGCTTCGGATGGTTTGAAAAGTTATTTTCACTATAAAATTTTTTAAAAAAGTCATTAAAGTTTAAAATAATAGCTCTTAATATTTGTTAAGCAATTTTCTGGTAAGCAATATTAGTATGGGATTGAATTCATTTTATCGATAGTTTTTCTAGTCTATGAAATATAGAAAACTCATATAAATGTAATAAACAGATTTAAAAAATCAATTAATATACAAATATAATTTGATTTGTAAATACAAATATATATATTAATTTTTTGAAAGTTTATTTGCTTGCATTTATTACCTCTTAAACAGACATATGCTTAGTACTGTAGTAAATATATAAAAGTAGTGTATATATTACTTATATTGTAATTGATTTAATTAGGCTTTTTACTATTATAAAATGCTTAAATTATACTATAAATATATCATTAATAAATTTCTCATTAAAAGATACATAAAACATGAATATTAACATGATTTACTTAAATTATTTAATAAAGTATACTGTTGTGTTTCGAAAATTTTCTTTTTAATTATTAGGTTTAGCTATCCTCTATTGTTTTATTCATCAAAGTACATATGCACTAGAAAAATTTGTAATAATAAAATTATTTATTACGATCTAGTAATCTTATATATTATTATATTAAGGCCATACAAATTCAATAAATCGGTTTTCATAACCGGCCGGGTCAAAATTTACAAAACCTTAGAAAAACTTTTTTAGTATATTTACTATCCGGGCGAGTTTTTTTAAAAACTATAAAAATTTTATATGTTTTATATATATATAATTTTTTGAAAATGAAATTAAAAGCCAAAATTTTATGTTATGAAAACTGAATTAAGTTTGTATGGCCTAATAAACTTTATTAATAAAATTTTTAGTTAATTTAATTTTAATAATTAATAATATTAGTGCCGTCAAAGGAAAACTGTCATCGTACTTTTAATTGTATTTTATACAGTTAGTCGTCTATGGAAAATACTAAAAATACGATGACAGTTTTCATTTGACGGCACTCATATAATAAATACTTTTTTTAGAGAGAAAAAGTTCACGTAATAATAAGCAATACTGTAGTAAAAACTTGAGCAAAGCAAATTCTGTGCCATAATGTTTTACAATACCTTACAGTAGAGATCATTGTGATTCCAATACATACTAACTCAACTTTAACCACAGCAAGTTCAGAAAATTTTTACGGTAATCACAAGTTCTGTAAAAGAATTTTCTACAGCAACTCATGACAAAAATAACACCCTTCACTGCATATTACATGTAAGTTCAGTAATGGAAGTTTACATGATAATTCCAATGCAAGCTAACTCATCATTAACCAAATATCAGGTAATTAGAATAGAGTCCCTATAAGAAAAATGTACTGTAATTGTACGGGTTGGCGCAGGATTGCACGGGTTTTGGTGGCACGGATCAAGCCCGGACCTTGTACGTAAGAGGCTCGAATTGGTACGGATTTTCGGCTCGTGTTGGTCCGTATACCGGTGCCAATTGGACCGTTAATGGCTCGGGTTTTGCAACACTTTACTACTGTAGTCCAAATTGCACGGGTTTTGGTACGGTGTACGTAAATTCACGTACCATTAAATTTCAATTATTCATACTAAAACATAAATTTACATCAATAATCATCAATATAGTACGTATTTGAAATTAAAGTAATTGCATTTGTGCAAAATTTCTGCAAGGAATTTTTTTCGTTAAGATACTGTACCCAGGACAATTTTATCGGTGAAATTTTGAGATATTGCATTTTTTTTAAAAAAACAAGCATTTACTTATCCTTCGCTCTTGAGATACGTGCATATACGTATCATTAAATACGTGCCATTCCGTAAGACGTGACAAAACGTGCCACCACTTTGCCGTAATGTCCGTATCATTTTTAGCCGTGCCATCACGTAAAATGAGCCTCTACGTGCCACACATCCGTACCATTTCGTGCATTCCCGAGCCACAACACGGTGTTACTATCTTTGGGAGAGCTAAAAATAATTGATGTATCGGTTTAGAGCAGGACAGTAAACGATATAGGTCAGGAATGTTAATGGTTATGAAGGGATATCGGGTGAGTACGGCGCGGGCCCGTAAGATACTTTTAGAGTTAATGGTGTGGGAGTATAAGAATATGGATAAGTAATCTGGCGTGCAGATTATAAGACCGTATATAGTAACGATAACAATGTAGGAAATAATAAAGAATCGAATCTAATATAGATCAATTGATGTATGCGATTTAATATTTAATAAAGATTCAAGAATGAGTATAAGAGCGTGAGAATTCGAATAAACAAATAAGGATTTATAAGTTGCCTTCGGCTTTGAATTGCCTACTAACTTATAAGGTTCAGAGTTTTATTTAAGTAGATCGAAGTCTGAAAAATCTTTATTAAGGCGAAAACTCAAGGTTTAAATACATGTGGAATTTTCTTATGCAGCAGTAAATTTCTGCGTGATAACCAGAATCTAAATCTCTTGTTTATACCAATCCATCATTGAAGAAATTTAGGAATTCCCTTTAAAATACCTAAATCATTGAGCGCTATAAACAAATCTATCTCTTGCTCATTGAAAATCTTCTAATTCCTTCCATCTTTTCCATCTTGTCACACAATACTTCAATGATCAATAACCTTTAAATTCTTGGCCGTCAAATAATTCTTTGAACTTCATGCAGCAGTTTTGATAACCAACATTCCAAATCAGGAAACATTCACAAGTAAACTATCATTCACTAAAATGGGAATAGTATAGATCTAATTACGGCTAAAGATTTTCCCTGTCATACCTAAGTCCCAAATAAATTAGTCTAACAATGCCAGGGAAGACTTAGCTAAATATAGAATAATATTACATGGAACACTTTGTTCTACGGCAGATTTTTGATAATAAATAAAGGTCTTGGGAATGCAAGACACAAATATAGAAACAATAAAGAATAATAGAAATAATAAATATAAGAATTAAATAAGATAAAAGAAAAAGTAGCACAATTGCCTAAACAAGTCCAATTAATTAAAGAAAGGTCAGAAAGGTTTCAGAAAATCAATCAAAAAATTTTTAATAACAACAGACCACTTTTCTTATAGGGAGTACATTTTTTTTTTTTTTGGGTATTAAGGTGACCTCTCTGGTCAGGACTTTTTATTAAGTAGATATAATGTTATACAATTACAATGAGAGTACATATAGCCACACGTGCACCTTTTGAGTGCCTGATTTAAGTAGTCCGCCTGAAGGTTCTACACTATCTGCCATACCTGCACCCCAACTAGGGGGTACCCATTTAAACCCTCTGGTCCTAACTGTCAGTTACTTCTACCTAATCAAGGTGTAACTCACTATTCAGTTGTAGCTTTTGCGACACCTGTAGATTTCACACCCACCTTAGAACATACTAACCATCTAAAGCTAGTCTATTCATGAGGTAAATCTAACAGAGTGGTCCATGTCCCACACATGTATTCACCTGCATGTTCAGTAACTTCTTATCTAACTAGTACATGTTGTATTGCCGTCACTGAGTTTGTATCTCAAGCCAACTTTTGGGATGCTGCCGTAACCTGATCCTTATCTCAAGCATAACCTTCCTAATTAGTCGCCCATTACTTACTTACTGCCCTTGTAAGGTTCCTAACAATCCCAGTACTCACATTTAGAACCATCTCCTTATCTGGATTCTCTATCAGTCCCTTCCTTACTTCCAGCTAGCAACCCAAATGGGTCAGTCTGCCCAGGCTTTAGATGCTTGAAAGACGCCCTCTCCTTGGTCCATACTTTCAGAGTGTATGCACTTTTCCTTCAGTGCGACAACCCAGTGGTTCAGCTAGTGTGTCCTCCACCATTTAGGACCTGGTTGCTCAGTTCTCTGATCTCGGGCCCCGATTTGAATTTAGCCCTCCTGTGATACTATTGAAGATTATTGCTACATTTCAACTTGGGACTTGCCAAACGGGTTTTCAGTTATTCCGGTTCCTCAGATTTATTGCGCCAAAGCTCGCATTACTAGATGGTGTGACCGAGATTACAGATTAAGATCCAACTGATAATCAACAACCGTTAACCATAATACAGATCCATTTTTCAA